CACCTTAGGTGTATGTGGCTGGCGCCTTAGTCGCTTGAGCCACAGACGCTGAGCCAAGAATTGTTTTATTTCATACTAAAAGAGACAAAACAAAAGAGTCCTTCCCTCCCTTCCTGTTTGGGTGAGAACTGGATGCTTCAGGAGCCATCTTGAATTCAAGAAGGAGATGTCAAAAGACAGCAGCCCAGACCCCAGCACAGAGCTGCACCTGAGCCCTGGAACCTACCAGGTTCACAGCTGTTCCCTACATAGTTGTTGTCTAAATGGTGCCTTTTCCTCCATTATGAAGGAAGGTGTCTTGCTTCATGTCTTTCTAGTTAAACTGAGTTTCACAGAAGAAAGTTGCCTTGTAAACAGCCAAAAGTCAGTGCAACTTATCTCAGGATGTTTCCTGGGACACATCTTCCAGAGAGAAGGTTGCTCTCAAAAACAAAGCATTGGGCCTATCGGGTCTGTAATGCCAGCAGACATTATCACTTCCAGAGAACAGCCTTCTAAATCTTCCTTATGAGGTGACCTTTAACCAAAGTGATCTTATAAAAAACAGGGAATGAGGGAAAAGAGACAGAAACACTTAAGATTCAACACTGCAGACATCTGGGAAGCTGAGGTAGGAGGATGGCTTGAGTGTAGGAACTTGAGGTTGCTGTGAGCTATGATGCCATGACACTTTATCCAGGGTGCAGAGTGAGACTCTGTCTCAAACAAAAAGTCAGCCAATGGCAAACTTTTATTAAAAACCTTGCCAGCTCCAGGTACCACTATGTGCTGGATATGAGAGGCACAAGCTAGACTGCCTGCCCTTCTGGAGAGAGACACGAAACAAATATTCCACAAGAAAGTAATGACAGTGGAGGTGAGTGCTGTCCAGGGTTCCTTGAGCGTGAGTAACTGTAAGAGAGTGGTGGGGATGATGGCAGTGATTTGAGATGGTCTCCCCAAGGAAGAGACATGTATACTGAGTCTACTGAGTCCCATTCATTCTAGTCTACTTCAAGATACTTAAAGATTCTTTTGAGAAACGAAGAGAGTAATAGGGGTAGAAAGGAGGAGATGCTAAGAAACGCAGGCAGGTGAGGTGATAGGATGTGGTAATCAACCAATGTGGGAGAGAGGGTGTGGCTAGAGTCAAGGATGGCCCCCAGCATGGGCTACTGGGCAGATGGATACACATTTATTAGTGAAGTCAGTTGTAACTCTGGACCCCATCCACTGTCACTCCCTGAAGCCTAGCCCTGTGACTTTGCTTCTGTTTCCACAAAGGAATAGAGTATATTTCCCTACCCTTTGAATTTGAGTTGGCCTCATAACTTGCTTGGGCTGACAGAATGAAGCAAGGGTGATGGGTTCTGCTTTTGGAGCCTGCGTCTCCAGAGGCCTTGTCAACTTCCACTCCTCTAGGGCCTCTGTTCAGCCTCCGTAAGAGTGAGCCCTGGCCAACCTGCTGGATGATAAGACATGTGACTCAGTCACTGCCCTCTCAGATCACAGCAGACAACCAGCCAGCTGCCAGACACAAGGGAGACCATCCTGAAGCAGCCGACCTTCTCCCACCCAGCAGAACATGGAAGCTTTCTGCAGATGCACCAGAGAGCTCAGCCACTGAACTGCAGACCTGTGAGCAAGCGAAAGCGATTGTTGTTCCATGCCATTAAGTTCTGTATAGTTTGTCATGCAGCAAAAACTAACTGACACAACCAGAACAGAGAAAGGAGAGAATAAAGGTAGGGCTGTTTAACAGGCACCTGGACAGACGAAGCTGGAACACAGGAGGAAAGATGCATGAAGGTCTCCTAACTGTGCAAGGTTCAAGCCCCCAGGCTTCTGCCTTGCCGTGGTGCTGCTGAAAGCTAAGAACCAGGCTATAGCTCTGGTTTACGTCCTCTTCCTCCCACTCCGCACTCCTACCCTAAACTCCACCATGCACCTAGAAGTAAGTCATCAAATAAATGACTCAGGCACACAGGACAGTATTAATGATGGGGAATTAGTCCCGAGTCAGAGCTCCCAGCCAGTGGAATGCTCACTGAGGAATGAGTCAATTCAGTTCAACCGGTGCCAGGAAGGGGCTGTCTTTGCTGCTCAGCTATAAACAATTACTGCCCCCAAGAAGACCTCACATATCCCTAGCAGTTACCTTACTGATACCAAGGGCTCACCTCCCTCCTTCCCTTTTTCCATATTATTATCACCTCACCAGTATCTTTTGAAAATTATAAAAAGGGCAACTTTCGACAGGAATCTGTTCCTCTCATGGTTGCAAAAACATCCAACTGATTAGCTTTTTCCTGTTTCTTTCCTCCGCCAATTCATAGCTCTGATCTCGAGTTCAACCACTGGGCTAGTGACTCAAGGGGCCGCTGCGGGTGGAGGTGGCCCGCGAGGCTAGGCCGGCTCCAGGGGCCGCCGGGCGCTGTCCAGGAGGTGGCGCTTTCGAGGGTCTGGGGCCCGGCCGCAGCAGGTTCCCAGCAAAGCGCGTCAAGTAGCGAGGCGGCGCGCGCCTGCGGTGACAGCCCCTCCGCGGCCTCAGCTCGCGCCGGCCTCCTCCCCGCAACTCCGGGAAGGGGCGGAGAAGAGGAGGAGCTGGAGGTGGCCGCCCCGCTCCCCGCGCTCCAAGCCCTTTAAAAGCCACTGGCCTTGACAGCCCTGCGGGCAACTGCCACCGTCCTGGTTCCCGGGTGCCCGCTCCCTCTGCTCGAGAGCCGACTCCGGGTGCGGGCGAGCCCCCTACGGCGTGGCCCGCGAGTTCCATGTGGCTGCCCAGCATGTCTGGGCACTTTCTGCTCGCGCCCATCCCGGAGTCCTCAGACTGCCTCCTGCCCAAGGACATCAAACTGGCTGTGCTGGGCGCCAGCCGCGTGGGCAAGAGCGGTGAGTGCGGCGGGAGCGCGCGGGCGCTGCCCACCTCGGTCGGGCTGCGACACCGGGGCTGGGGGGCTGCGAAGGGGACAGGAGCTCGGGGACAGGTGGCACCTCGCAGTTCTCCAGCTCGGAGGGGCCCAGGTCAGTCCTGGCTGGCTTCCGCGGCTGCTTTCCCCAAGCATTTATTGCCAGAGTGTGGCCGGGGTTGGCGCCCTGGGAGAATGGGGTTGCGAGAGGGCGCATCCCTCCGGCCGGACCTTCGCGGAACTCGCGGGAGGCCACCACGCGACCCCTCGGCTTTGCAGAGCCTTGGGAGGCGGGCAAGAGCCCGCGGTCCTGCGCCCATCACTCCTTCAGTTCCCCGGGGGAGAAGGGGGTCCAGATTCCACCGTTTTGTTCTACTCCGCCGGTTGATTTTCCTATTTCCTTTTCAGCAATGATAGTGCGCTTCTTGACCAAGAGATTCATTGGTGACTACGAGCCGAACACAGGTTAGAATCATTTCATGCTCCCCGCTTTTCTGCCTGCATGCTTATTTTTTCTATCCCTGATTGGAATGTGAGAATTTAAAAAGCAAACCCCTTCCTTCTCCAGGCAAACTGTATTCACGGCTCGTCTACGTAGAGGGGGACCAGCTGCCTGTGCAGATTCAGGACACTCCCGGGGGCATCCAGGTACGGACTGCTCAGAGGAAGTGCTCACCCCTCTCAGACCACCCAGGGGCCCCAGCATGTGGGGCGCTCACACTGGGCACCCAGGCAAGCAAGTCTGAAGGAGCTGTTGTGTATTTCATGTAGAGCTTGGCTGTCCACAGGTGTGGCCAGTGGTTGGGGTGTTAGCCCTCTAGGGAGGGGTAGGGGTGCTTGGTTACATGTAGAAGCCACTTTCTCTTGTCAGCCACTGACCTGAATTCTTTGTCACCCAGGCACTGCTTAGGCCTGCAGTCCATGGAACCATTAAAAAAAAAAAAATTAAAAACAAACTAGGTAGAATTCTGGTGAGAAAGAGTCTTTTCTGGCAAGGACTGCTGAAATGCTTCTGTTACTGGCTGTTCCCTCAAGTTAGTAATTGCAATCAAGAATGTAACTTCATTAACAAGTTACTAATTGCTACTCCCTTCTAGGGAGGAAAGGTCTTGTGGAAGAACCCGGAGAAAGGAATTTGTTTCTGTGACATTCTCAAGAAGTGCATGTTAAAAATATTTTTATGGTTTTGAGAATAGATATTTATCTTGGCTTACTCTCAAAGTTTTGTTTATTATAAGTTAGTTTCCTAAAAATCGAGCCATTCCGGTTTGAGGTCTTTCTTCAGTCAGCCACGGTTCACCAGAGACTGCCTGTCAAGCAAGGGGTTTAAAAATAATGCATTGATAACAGCTAATAAAATACTCCAGGCAGGGTGTTCGCCTGAGAGTTTGCCCTTTCGATATCAAAAGCTGTCTTCTGCAGAAGCTAGGTAGAACCTGAAAAGTACAGTTAGTGATTTCTTTTTCAAGCCTTTCTTCACGGGTTACTTTGATGTCATTTTGAGCTCATTTCCCATGGAGGGCTTCCTTGACTGGAGCTCATTTTGTTCTTTTCTCAGATCCAAGATAGCCTCCCCAAGGTCATCGATTCCCTGTCCAAATGCGTGCAGTGGGCTGAAGGCTTTCTGCTGGTCTATTCCATCACAGACTACGACAGCTACCAGTCCATCCGGCCGCTTTATCAGCATATCCGGAAGGTCCACCCTGACCCCAAAGCTCCTGTCATCATCGTGGGCAACAAGGGGGACCTTTTGCATGCCCGGCAGGTGCAGGCACATGACGGCATTCAGCTAGCCAACGAGCTGGGCAGCCTGTTCCTTGAAATTTCCACTAGTGAAAACTATGAAGATGTCTGCGATGTGTTTCAGCATCTCTGCAAAGAAGTGAGCAAGCTGCACAGCCTCAGTGGGGAAAGGAGGAGAGCCTCCATCATCCCTCGGCCGCGCTCTCCCAACATGCAGGACCTGAAGAGGCGCTTCAAGCAGGCTCTATCTTCCAAGGTCAAAGCCCCCTCAGCCCTGGGGTGAACCGTCTCACACAGACTCAGCTCCTTTTCATTGTGTACTTGTGCAGCTAAACAGACTGGGCTTCTCCCTTTTTAATCACACATTCAGAGTTTATTTTTATAAAGACTATTGATTTCCAAGTGTATGTGTATTTCTGAAAATTCAAACAGTGATTGAAGCTGTATAGATTTTTTTTAATAAAAAAGACTTTTTTTTTTTTTACTGTAACTCCTAGCCACTTTTCCATTAAAGGCAAAATGGCAACATTGCTCCTTGTTTTCTAAATGTCTTTTTATAGAAATCATACTTGCACCACAGCCCAGAACTGCTCAATGCTTGCCCTCTGTCTGAACTGTGATTGGTGTCTTGCGATAGGGAGGGGTTTATGTAGAGAGAATCAGCTGTGGGAGAGAGGAAAGTATGCGGAGGGGGAAAGAGGGTTGAATACTGCAGGATATCTTTAATTAGGACACTTTGCCACGGCCATCAATGTCACACTGTGATTTTCAAGGGATGCAGTACAACACGCACGCCTGAGTGCCCATGCTAAAAAGTTACAAATCATGAGTAGTGTCATTATTTATTAGGGCAAATGTGATAATTTTTCTTCTTTACTCACATTTAAACAAACAAATCCTTTTCCAGCGTTCTTTAGGTCAGTAAGTGGGCTCTACCATCCGAGAATTGCCTCAAAATTCTCCTTTCCTTCTAACTGGGCACCAGATCTGTCAGCCCTCTCTGTTGGTTTTTGTTTTGTTTTGTTTTGTTTTGCTTTTGAGACGGAGCCTCAAGCTATCCCCCTGGGTAGAGTGCCATGGCATCACGCTCACAGCAACCTCCAACTTCTGGGCTCAAGCGAGTCTCCTGCC